CCAATACTTTCACATTTTTAACTCACAAAAGACCATTTTGAGCCAGTAAGAGTTCACTTCCCCATTAGCTATTATCTTTTGTCAGCTGTTCTAAAACATATGCCAAATCAAACTAAATCATTCAGTTACATCAAACACATATCTGAACCTTGAAAGTTGAGTCCACGGGTAGTTGGATCATAATACCGGTAACTTTTCACAGCTAAACCTGCCAGAGTGAAAACTTTTGGGTGGTTTCCCCATGTTGGAACAGGAATGTATATGGTCCGCTGCAATGAAATCACAATAATGCCGGTAAAAAAGAACAGTAGAGAATAACTAGACTGTTTTTGTTATGGAAAAGTAGAAAATTTTAGCACTTTACTTCATGATAATGTCGTGCCAAAAACTCAGCTCCAACCCTCAGTGATCCTGTTCCAGACAAGCACTGGACAGTAGTAACCCTGTTATCTTGAACAGCAGGGCTGTTTTCAAGCAAGAAAAAAGTCAGAAATGATGTTCAACCACAGTATGGACTTAAATAGCAGAAATCATGCAAAATAAGATTCTATGTAGTTTGTAACATCATATACTCAACCAATTCTAAAAGGCACATTTTTTTTAAAGGTTCATCAGACACAATGCCCTTCCAACACAGGTATCAACTAAGACTAGCTCACGAGAAAAACTTAAAGTTTCTCCTCTCTAAACATCTTTTAACAGAACACGTCTGTTGGATTGATCATTTACAGATTTCTGTCTACCAGATATGCATTAGTTTTCCAAGATGCCAATGCACAAATTCAAATTACTTCCTGCTTATCTGCACGAGTTCTTGGCCAATCATTGACATTAAATTTAGGCATTAAAGTTCATATACATAGTCATTGCCACAAAGCTTCATAATGAACTATAAAAGATACTACTACATGAGTTTTCCAATAATCTATAGAATGGTACAAACTACTATACTTCCAATCATTAAGACAACCAAACAGACCAACCCACCTGTCTTCACATCCACTATAAAGGAAAAGAGTCTCGACTCTAATTCACCATTTCAGAAGAATTGGATTTTTTCGCAATTCTAACTTGAAATGGTGGTTAAAATTGAGAACAAATTCGAATTATTCATCCAGAAAGAACATTATGGGAGTTAAGTGGCCAAAATAGAAGATCAGAAACCCAAAGTTCAAGAGTTTATTTAATTTACCATTTGATGATTTACCTGTCAGCACCGAGAATGAGCTTGGCACTCAGTTTATTGAAGTCTGCCAGCCCCACAATTGGCAGATATTCCTTAACACGAGAGCTGCACATGATTTAGTTCTCAATTACCTTCTTTAAATGAATAAACCAATTGACTTCCAGAAATATCATACATCACACCTGTCATTAACTAGTAGCTGTTCTGCCTGTCTAACAACATTCAGAACGAGAGGTTTCCCTTCCTGTTGAAGACATCAAAATAAGATTAGGATCGCGGCTATGACAAGGAGATTCTACACAGCTGGCTCACAATGGCATTTTAGCAACAATAACCATTCAATTACACGCCACATCATAAAAATCTACATGGCGTCTACCCAACAAAATCTCCTAGTATGCATTTCGGGTAGTGGGTGTGTAAGTGCAAATATAATAATAATCACTATTTTTGGTAGTTAAGATGAAAAATATGATTGCTAATACAAAATGCTAAGGGAGATCAGGGTCTACACTACTTGGATCCAAAGTCTTTTCAATTCCCGGTACTACATAAGAATCAAGCAACAACAGCGTAACCAAAAGAGATCTCACCTCAGTTCGGTAAGCTCCTACACCCAAGTTCAACTTCACAGGGCTTGGATCTTTGTTGTATGCAACAGTTACCTAATTACAAAGATATGAAAACTTTCAGATAATAATACTTCCAAAATCTAAAACTTATAGCAAGAAAACACAATTGCACCAGCAAACCATGTAGCACTGCATATAAGAATTCTTCTCTTCTTCTCTTTACCCTTCTCCAGGTTTTATTGAATCTTATAAACCAAGAACTTTTAAAAAAACAGCGGAAAATACCAAATGATAAGCAGCTAGTTTGTGCTAATTTAAATAACTAGGGTGAACTAGAAAGTGTTCAACTTGCATAACCTAGAATTTATGCGCTACGAAGTTGCAAATAACCCCAAAGTTTTCTTTTTGGAGTGTTACTCCACTTTTACCAAGCATGATAATATGCTAAAAGGCTTAAACACATGTTAAACTGCAGAGACTGCAGAACTGAATAGAACAGAAAAAGAGATTGAGAAAATTTCCACATCCAAGTTAAAATTTTTTTTAAACATCTGTACTTTCTAGGTTGTAATTAAACCTCTACCAGAAGTCCAAATTCAATATCAACAACTACAGAGAAATATAACAAATTCAAACACTATAACAGTGCAATCTTTTTCTTTTCCATCATTTCCCTCACAATTTTGCTGATATAAAGATAAAGAACACCCATAAAAAAAATTCCATTTCTATAACATATCAGGTAACACAAACATAACACAATCTCTATAAAGACCCTGATACAGAATTCAAAGCCACGATCTTTTCCATGTTTTCCCAACTGGGATTTCCTCAACTACCAAGAAATTTAGTAATCCCAAATAATACTACAAGTATTTTCAGTGTTTTATCCACCTATTTATTATATCACGAAAAAAAAAAGAACGTAAAGAGAAAAAGTACCCCAAGAATGGGATCTTCAGGGGCCTGAACAATATGGGCAAAAACAGAGCTACCAGCAGCAGAAGTTGGTGAAGCAGAGACAACAGTATTGCTCTCCATGGCTGATGATGAAGTTGATTGGAGGTGCTTGGCAAGAATCCTCAGCCTCCGATCGGTAGAAGAAGAAGAAGAAGAGTTGTTCAATAACTGATCAGCATTCATATCGGTGAACGAAAACTTTTGCTGGGAATGCCTTTTTGTTTTTTTTTTTTTCCTTTTTTTCTTTCTTTTGCTTTTTTTGGGCATACTTTTGCGCCTTCTTTTTCTGGTTTAACTGTTGAGCAACGGTGACGGTGCCTTAGTTTAGTTGTTCAAGAAAGCAACGTCGTCTGAGGTGACGTGGCAAGTGACGGTCTCCAATTTTGATTTAATCTTGTGTGATGAAATGACGTGGAGTACTTGTCTTTTGGACTGGGGACCACACTCCTGGGGTTGTCAGCAGTACTCCTCCGTCTCATTTTAATGGTCCTGTTTCTTTTTCATACAATTTAAGAAAAAGTAGTTAATTTTATTGAAAAAATAAATTTAGATTGCTATTTTTCTAAAATACACTCACATTAAATATGGTATAACTTTATGAAAACTTGAATTGACCGTAAATGAGGTAGATTTATAGTAACAACTACTTATATTGAATAAGGGTATTTTAGAAAAATTAAAATATAATTATATTTTTCAATTGAAAAGTGAATTATAATTTTGGACAGATAAAAAAGAAATACAGGACTATCAAAGTGGGACGGAGGGAGTATTATTTTCTGCCGTAGGATTAAAGACATTGAAAGTCTTTTTTTTTTTTTTTTTTTAACATGATAGGCCCACTTTCATTTTATTCTATATTAAAAGGAGGAGAACTGAATCTGAAAAGTGTCAAAAAGAACTCAGAGAAAACTCAACCACCGCTTACTTGAAAGGGGGACCTACACTTATATCGGAGGCTAGAGAAGGTGATTAATTAGCTGCACAGCCAAACTTATCGTGTACATGTCCGTATGGAATCATTCTGAGAAGTAAAACCTCAAAGAGATATGTTTTTTCTTTGGTAACAATTATTTCATATTGTTAAAATAAATTTAGATATCTGTGCAATAACAGATCCATGGGGGGCGGACAGGGGCAATTAATTTGGAATTCCCTTTGTATCCCCTTAATATTAAGGGGATAATTTTAGAAACCTCCCTGAGGCTTATAACGATTATAGCTACCTTTCTTAAGATTTGAAAAATTACATAAACCTTTTCTACAAAAATATGTTTTGATAACAAATGGTGATGTAAGCACAAAAAGTTTAATGAATATCCTATATTGCCCTTATTTGATTAGGAAAAAAAAATTAAATGACAAAAGAAATCAAATGTCAGTATTACTTGCTAAGTGAAAATTTTTAAAGTAGTTCTTTGTAGCAAAATTTAGGCCTTATTTCAAGGCATCATTTTTTAATGTTTGGATTTCCTTTTTTCCTTTGCTAAGTAAGTTGTGATCAAGAAACTATTTTTACAAATGCATCCCCTATTAGTGGGTTATTTATAAAACTAAGTAAGAAATCCATTTAAATGACTTAGGAATTGAATATAACGTACTAAGTTAGATGAGTATAAAGTTATTGGTTAAAAAAATATTTGCAATATGTGGATTTATTTTTCCTTTACACCCACTTTTCATTTAGGATTTGTAGAGTTGTCAAGACTATTTTCGTCCTTTCATAACACCACAGGAGGTAAGCGCAATTTTTTAAACCTCAAAGGAGATGACTGCAATTGTTACAAACTCTAGGGGAGGTTTATGAAATTATCCCACACACGCCCATGTGTACATCTTAATTTAATGGTCTCATTCTGTGTTCCTGCAAGGGTATATGTGGACCTTTACTTTTAAGAGCTTTGTAGACGGTGACGGAAGGCTAGCTGATTGCATGGCACGCTTGCTGAGGAATTGAGGAATGGCATACTATACTATATATGTAGGTAACTTGACAAAAGGATAAGGTACATCAGACCAAGTAGAAAAATTTCTTCTTCTTTAATTGTTACTAATTTATAGAAAAATAGATAATGGGGAGGCCAGTGATTTGTAAATTTGTCCTCAGTGTTGCTGTTTTTAGGGTTTCTTGATCTGATTTTGGTTTGAGAACTATTTTAAGAGAGAGAAGAGACTTCGGGATCGAGGAGAAACGCAGGCGAACTTGTGACCTCAGGACAAAGGAAACTGAATAAGCCAATTGAGATGTAAGGTATTATAGATAAACATACCAATTGCTTGCCTTTTAACTTTTTTATACCAGAAGATACATTCAGGCTTGAATCAGCAGTCATTAAACAGCGATTCGAATAACATATTCCAATCTCATCCATCCAAGCTAGTCTTTTGTATCAGAACTCACGAGTATCAATTTTTATATCATGATAGCAACATTCATGAGGGAGCACTAGCAGCTTCCTTGAACGAGTGCTCGTGCTTTTCATTTTGTGCTCTAAGAACATTATTGATTTCATCATCCAGAACTCTGATCTTCTTTTTCACATTCGCAAGTTGGGTTTCAAGATTTCTCATCTCCTTCTCAGCTTGAGCTCTTTCATTTGTCTTTCGTTTAATCTTCTCCTGTTGTTTGCGCTGGATGGAGTCCAGTATGTTCTTTATAGCTGCACGTAGAAATGCAACATTCATGCCCATTCCTTCGAAGCCCTTGAGAGTTTGGTCCCAACGTTGGACATCATTGCACGAGGTGGTAGTAATCTCGGCAGCTCTAATGGCATCAGCAATCTTTACGGTTTCAGATATTATGCCAGCAGCCAACTTCTTATCTATGCATTTGACAAGACCATCATGAAGACCTGATTTTTGACTGCAGCACAATTGATAGTATTGGCTTCGAACATGCTCGGATATCTCTGAGTCTATGACTTCACCATTCCAAAGAATGTTGAAACTCTCAGTTTCCTTCACATCTTCAAATGATATAATTACAAATGATTAGCAGTGGTCGATTCTTTATAGGTGGAAAACATAGCATCAAGCAAAAATGTACACGAAAAACAACAAAGCTTGGGACAGCACATATACCCTTAGCAATTTCTGATGCAACTTTGCCTTCTGAGTTCAAAAGGCCATTGTCCCTTTCAAGTTTTCTTGAGCCTCCTTTAGCTTTGAAAATATGAACCTATACAAGAACATAATACCAATCAAAATGAGTAAACTGCAAATCAATCCAAAAAGAGACAATGTGATACAAGTATTGGTTTGAATATGTTACCTTAAATTTAAATTTGTTAGAGTCGACCAATTGGAAAATTAGCACATCTCCTTTAGATAATTGGTGTTTAATGGAGAAACCTCTCCATCCTCCACTCAATCCACTCTTCTGTGCAAGATATTTGATGTCATATTCTTTTTCATTCTCGTCCAACAAAACAATGTATTCATCTTTCTTGGGCATGTGTTTTTGGCAGAAATCCTTAGGCCATTGCTGAAAGCAAATACTACCATTAAGTTTGAGCCAGGATGAACTTAATTCAAAGCCCAAAGAGCACTTAAATTGGGTACATATGATTAATCTTACCAACCAAAATCCGCCACTAACTTGTGATGGAAGCATCAGCTTCACAAAGTTAGGATCATCTGATGGCAACTTTGCTACAAATTCATTTGCTCTGTCCAACAGGGCGGTGGACTTTGCTTTATCAGAACCAGCCATTGAAGAATCACTACTTGTCTCCACATTTTTGCTATAGCTAGAAAATGGTAAGGGAAGCATAATATATCATATAATAATTGAAATTTCCGTGATCACATTTATTAGCAACTAATAATATATTTTGTCAATTTACCACTAACCACATTATCTGCTTCCTGTTTTCCTGGGGAGAGGATTTGGTTTTGTCACTACCCGCATGTGAAGACTCAACATTTTTCTCCATCATTTCATCATAGCTAAAAAATTTACACAAAAAAAGAAGCATAATAAATCAGAAATAATTCAGTACCTCCATGATCACAGTTAAGAACAAGTACTAGAATAATTTTTCAAGAAATGATACAAACATTTGTGACTAATTACCATGTTATCCGCATCTCGTCAACTTCAATTTTTACCTTCATAGGAGGACAACTTTCTCTTTTGGGCTTCTTGTTGATAGTATTTTCCTTCTGCATGCAAGTAATCCTTTTTCGTGTAGGCTTCACAAACACATATTTGCCCATCGAAGGTTTAACTTTATGAGAAACAAGACAAGGAGCCTAATCAAGGCCGTGAAAGTTAAAATTTACAACGTTCACATAATTCTGGATCTCAACAAGAACAAAAAAAATAAGGGTACATTTTTGCAACAAATGAAGTTTACCAATTCCCACCGCAAATTTTTTAAAAGGGTTATCGGTATAAGGCAATAATTTTCGTATCCTTCGTCTGATCAATAACAATGTTCCCAATTATTAGTAGATGATAAAAGGGTTATGGACAATTATCAGTATAAAATCATACTTTCAAGTTTCAACATCAAACCTAATTTGCTATGACTGATCAGAAATCCGAATTAGTCACAGTTGAGAAGTGATCATCTGGGTAACCTTATGGAGGACTGTGGTGAGGACTTATATTCATTATGACTAATGGTTGGATGATAAATTACAACAAACATTTGAAGTTTAAAGTCTCTTTCTTATAGTTTTCCAATGTATAATGTTAGTGTTCTGTCGGTAATCGTGTCTAGTTTCAGCTACTAGCAATAGAAATTTACAAAGTAAACTGATCTCTCTCTCTCTTTTTCCTTATTATACTATAAGGAAATTCGATTTCTTGAATTAAAGGAAAAAAAAAAACAACCATTGGTATAAGGAAAAAAATTCGCGTACTCTTCTGACGGGGTTAAATGGATGTTGAGCAGCCACCTTCTTTTTCCGGAAAAGTTTCTTCTCCGACACAGGCAACTTCCCCTGTTTTAGATGTCAGAAAAGAAGAAAAAAGTGAGAAAAAAAAAATTCTTGCAGCCATGAGTAGACAAGCCATGATGTTTCTTTTTGTTTTTTCAAAGAGCAGAAAATTAAGCCCTTGTTCTCAAATAAGGAATAATTGCGATATTCTTGATTTTCAAATATGATAGAAAATCCCAATACTTGAAAATAACACAAGAAGACACTAACCATTCTCTTTGTGTTCAAACGTGTTCTTTGTTAGAAGAGATGATTTGAAGGCAGGTTCTTGACAGGGGGTTTGGATGGAGGGGATTAGGGAAGAAGATTTCTTACCGTTTGACTTGAAACTGTAGAAGAGCTGCATTGGTGGAGAAGGTAACGTGGAAATAGAGATGAACAGTGATAGTGTTGATATTTACTATGGAAAATTGAATGTATCTATGGAGATGTGAACATGATCCCTAAAATATGGGAATATATTCTGGGCTTTAAATATATCTACCATTTTCTGAGTTTTTCTTTTTTCTTTTGGAACAAATACCATTTCTGAGTTGATTTAGGGGCTTTTCCAATATAATTTTCTTGATTTGGTAAATATATTTATTTTGGGGGAGTTCTTATGTTTCCACTCTTACTAGATAAAAATAATTGATTTTGTCTTGCTCCAAAAAATTCCTAAGAAAAGAATGATAGAACAACCTTTAGAATTTGTAATTTTGAGGTTGTAATCCATATCTTTTTTTTTTTTTTGCCCCTTAGAGAATTGCACATAGGTTCCCAACATTTGCACTTCGTAGTTTGTTAACCAACTGCTTTTTTAGTCCATTATGTTTAAATGATGTATCTTGGTCATGAAATTATCAAGATATCGCATCTTGGTCCTCATTTTGATTTCCTGTTTAAGCTTAGTTTGGACCTGACAAAAGGGCGAGAAATAGCTCCAACAAGAGGAGATTGGATACCATATTAGGATTAGAATCTTGTCCAGTAATTGTAATTTTAGCATGGAGACGCGATGGCTTAGAGGAATGTTCATGTTGGTCATTTTGGGGTTGTTGATTTTGATTCATAAGTTCATTGCCAATTTTGTGTTTGATTTAAATTGCATTTGCATTCCCTATGTCAAATCCATTCCCTATTTTATATCTATCAAAAGTGAAAATCATTCAAAATCACTCTTACATTTTGTTAAATGACTTTTTTCATTTCTCACTTTTAAAATATTAACTTTATGTTCCTTAGAAATTCAAATTATAAAAATATGGTCTCTACCTAATCTTTTTATCATTTTTTAGTCTAAAATCATCATGTGACCTATATACAGTTATTTTTTTTTTATATATACAAACATGTCAGAATCCCACATTTTTAGTGACAAAAATAAATATAAATTAGATCAGATCCCATTTTTTAGGAGAAAAATAAATATGGTTCATGTCAGATCTTACTTTTTTAGAGACAAAACTGAATATGGATTAGATGGCTTGTTTAACTACAAATAAGATCTAACATTTTTGTTTTTAAAAAAATGACCTTGTATGGGTTACGTGATAGATTTAAAGTAAAAAGTGATGAAAAATTTAAATTGGAATCAAATTTTATCGACTTAATTTTGTAAGGAACGTAAATTTAATGCTTTAAAAGTGAAAGACGAAAAAAATTATTTAACAAAATACAAGGAATATTTTGAACGATTTTCCCCTACCAAAATGATCGAATTCTATGTTATTTTGGTATGTGTACTAGAAATTAGAAGTTTTGTGATTAATGAGGCCTCTTTAGAGGTCCACATATTATAAGAGCAGAAAATTAAAGTGATTTAGACATAAAAGTTTCTTCATGCAACTAATCACGGAACCTCTTACCTTTATGACGTATGGAAAAATAACATTATTGATTCATTTAGTAACTATCTATCAGAGATTCAGAGGTGCATTTAACACTTTCTATCTCAACTCTCAATCAAGGTAAAAGAATTATTTGCCAACGGAAATTGAGCCATACCACTTGGAACTGCTTCTGTAAACTTGAATTAGAACTCAATATAATAGATGCCTTTCATGGCTTCTAATCTTCATAAAACAGCAAAATCCTTGATGTTTAACAGCACTGGTACATCGAGTCTTTCCCATTCTCAACATGAGGGTAACATTTTCAATAATCACGATATCCACTTATTACTTGTAGAGTAGAATAATAGCAATTCCGCAAGACATATAGATCACTCAGAACTTGACGACGACCTTGACACAGTCTGGGTGTTTCAGGTACTCAAATCCTCTGTTAATTGCATCCAATGTCACTTCATGTGTAATTAACTCATCCAGTGGAATTTCCTGCACAAACCATTAAAAATTTTGCTCGGTAACACAATATGATTTGGACCATATTATATAAGAAACCATAACATAATGTGGACTGTGTAAAAAACTGTTGAGAAATGTTTCATTCTTGGAGCCTTCAATTAGCCTTTTTTTGTCACATTGCCAGAGTCCCAACTAGAAGAACATAATTGAGATCTTGAGTTATATATATATACTAGTTTTTGGGCCCTGCGCTTGCCTGTGTTGGGGGTGATGGATTTTGTTGTGTGATTGGGAGGATTTTGTTGATGGAAAGACCAAGACACCCCACGAAGTCAGCAGAATTACCATCGAAACCGGCCATGGTTGTACTGTAGCTATTCCCCCTTCCCCTTTTATATATTTAAGATATTATACACTAAGTATGAAGATTACCTTGTTTGCACATTTCTCTAGTAACAGTGGAAGATCTGACTTGGGTCTCACACCACCATAGATAGATCCTTTCAGTGTTCGACCACATATGAGTGGAATGTACTTGAAATCACCACTTGTCTCAAATCCGGCTCCAATAAGCACGGATGTTCCAAGTCCCTGATTATTTTTACATATAAAAGAAATTAGCAGAATTATAATTGATCAATTTAATTTGTAGTGTTCAGTTTATGATTATAACCTGTTACATGAATTTCTACAAACTCACAATTTTTGAGGCTTCAATAGCTTCATTGAGCAAGTCTGGCACGCCAGTGCACTCAAAACAGTAGTCCACTCCCAATCCTCCGGTAACTTCTTTAATCAGATCTGAAATTGATTTGTCAGAGCCCTTGGGATTTATGAACTCAGTCATCCCAAATGCCTCTCCCTTTTCACGTTTCATCTCATTTCTGTCTACTCCAATTATTCTAGACGCCCCTTGCATCCGAGCTCCTCCTGCCACCTGCAATTTCAAAATGCGATCACCTAAACATCTAAAACTTTAATTACCTACACGAGCAAGTTTAGATTCTTGTATATAATTAGCTGTCCATGAAAAACAGTTTTTGCACGTAGTATTGATCTAAGTCCTGTCCTATAACTAAATATCGTATATTATTCAGTGTATAAAAGATTAATTCTTTAAGATTAGAAAACGTTAGAGATTTAGCGAAATGCGCTTACGCCAAGCCCCACAGCACCAAGACCTAGTACAGCAACGGTTGAGCCCTTCTCAACGGTGATTTCTTTCCAGGCTGCACCAAAGCCTGTGGTGAACCCACAACAGAGGAAGCTAGCATGAGGAAGGGATACCCTTGGATCAACCTTGACAGCATAGGGAGCCTCAATGACTATGTATTCAGACCAGGTGGAGCAGCTGAAATGGTGGTAAATAGCCTGTCCTCTAATTGACATTCTTGAAGTACCATCCAATAAAAGGCCACTGAAACCTAAAGGATACTTGTGGCATAAATTTGTCTTTCCTGATATGCAATTGAGGCATTCTCCACATTCAGCCAAGTAGAGTGGCATCACTATATCCCCTTCTTTCAGGTTTGTAACATTTTCACCAACACTCTCCACCATGCTGCAATTTTTAGGCATGTGCAAAATGAAAATTCTTGATCATATTGATGACAGAAAAGCAATTCAAATGAAGATAAGGGAACACAATGAAGAAATTAGCCTCTAGAGATAATGTTGGGACCCCTGCCGGCTTCTTAACGTAGCAAGTCAAAAACCAAAACATAAATGAAAATTGGCATAGACTGATAGGGAACTATATTTGAATCTTTGATGAGACTTACCCAACTCCTTCATGTCCAGGAATTCGAGGGAATAAAGGCTGGGAAAGCAAACATCTTGAATCAGTAACTAAATTAAGGTTGTAAAATAATCTTGGATTATCAAAGAAAAAGTGGCAAAAGAATTGAATATGGAACACTAACAACTGGGAGGCCATGGCAACATAAGATATCAGTGTGGCACAAACTGGCAAGAAGCATCTTGACCCTAACTTCTGATGCTTTTGGTGGATCCACTTGTATTTCTTCAATTTTGGGTGGCTCCCCTGATTTCCATACCACAGCAGCTACAACAACAACAAGAAGATTGCAATGTTCATTTCAATTATAAGCATTGCACAAAAGGTTAGTCCAAAAGAAACTATTCTAGCCCCTTAGGACAATATGATCATGATTGCACAACCATGCTAATTATGATGAGTAGAAGATAAAAAAAAGAAAACTGAAAATTAATTTGCTTTGTTTGCTTGATTACCTTTGCATGTGACTACGCTTGGGGTGCTCTTGGTCATGGTGGCCGCAATAAGGTAGGAAACTGGGAATTGGTGGTTGAAGATTTGTGTTTGGCAGAATTGAAAGGGGTGTATATCTTGGCTCAGTGTTATATTGTATATGTAGCATTATCTGAAGATGCTAAATTCAGATTCATTGTTTTGTGGCTCAGAAGCGACAAGACTACTAAAATGCTCATGGGTCATGCGAGGACTCCCTACAGTTTTTTTATTGACCAAGTTGGTATTGCACTGCCCTCGTGCTCCATGGCCTCCTTTTCTTAAGATTTGATCTTTGACATTGACCATTCACCATTGGAGTTGGGGGCCATTCCTCAATTATACAGAACAGTTGCAGAAGTGCAATATCTGAAAGGCCAACTTTAAAGTGTTTAGGGATAATTTTAGAAACCTTTCCTGAGATTTTTTACAATTTCACTCGCCTCCCCTGAAGTTTATAAAATTACACAAACCTCCCTTAAGGTTAAAGTTATGATAACAAAGTTAGTCCAATTAGAAAAAGTAACATTAAAAAAGTACTTTAAACAGAGAGATAAAACTTTTATTTCATAAATATCCCTTATGCATGTATATAAGTAATATTAGTAAAAGAATAAAAATAATTAAAAGTCAGAAATAATTAATACATACATTTAATCACTCAAAAAACTCATATTTAATAAATCAGACAACATAAATAAACAACAAAACTACACTAATGATTAAAAGATTCAGCAAAACAGACTAATCATCTTTTTTAACATGATATTTACTATGATTCTCGTGATTTTGAATAGAAAAATTTTCAAAATTTGACTTTTTTTTTTAAGAA